GCTACTCTCGATGTGGAGGAGCAGCGGCTCTACTCTGAGTCCTCCCCGGATGACCGAGCTTCTCACCCCATCTCTAAGGGAGAGCCCGGACACACTACGGAGAAAACTCATTTCAGCCGCTTGTATCCGGGATCTCATTCTCTTTGTTTCTGGGCTGGCCTGAAAGCACAATGGGATTCCTCCAGAGGAGCTGGCCCAAGTGGCTGGGGAGAGGGACGTCTGGGCCTCCCTACTGACGCTGCTACCCCCGCCACCCGACCCCGGATAAACAGAAGAAGATGGATGGAAGGAGTTGTTGGGTTTAAATCCAGAGAAATGTGAGTTTAAGAGTTTAAGAGGACGAAATGATCAAACAAAGACAGGGATTTTGCAACGTCAGCCTCTGCACAGGGGAGAAGAACTGCTGGCTCACAACCAGCACCTTTTCTTCCAGTTCCCTTCACAGCAAAGCACTTTATTAACAGTTTACATCATAATAGGGCGGGTCTTAAACAGAAAACCCTGTAATGATTATCTGTCAGGATGCAGGTCATAAGACAGTGTGAAATGACCATCTGGCTGGATGCAAGTCACACAACAGTGTGACTTGCCTCATGACCTACTGGATGCAGGTCGTAAAAGTTTATGACCCTCCTGATTGAATCACAGGACAGAAATGTAGCATCTTGTTTCTTCAATGTTTCATATGCACACACATTCATTTTATAATTGTCATTCCATAACCCTAACAGGAGTAACCGACAATTCTCATAGGACACCCAACCTCCATTGTCATTTAGAAAACGTCTTATAGACCAAATGCCCTTTTCCATCTAGTGATCCAAATACAGAGACTTCTTTCTATGTAGCACATATCTATTATTCCAGATAGGAGATGGTGGGGAGTAAGATAGTGCGTGTGCATACGTTTCCAGCATAACAACACTTGCTTGCGAAAGCAAGCTGGCTACACAGGGAGTTTATCAACGATAGCTTTTACTTTAGAAAGGCTTCAAATTAACTTTGCTTTCAATTTGAAAGTCTTTAAATAAACTTGTTGTTCTAACAGTGCAGGAGACCTCACAGTGCAGCTCTGGGTCCTGACAGTGCAGGTCTGCAGCCAGACCCGTCTCATAAATCTTTGCAGATAGTAACTGCTTTGTGTTTTTTTTGTTTTTTAAGCTATCCTTAGTTTAATTGATGTGAGACCTAAATAAAAATAAGGAAAAATTAACAGAAGTACTAACAGAAGTACTTCTGTTGTAAAGATTAATATGTTGTAGTAAAACAGAAAAAAATAAACCCAGTGACAATCAGATGATTTAAATGACTCACCTATGAGCTCAGCTATGGCGCTGAAAGGCCAGGTGTGGCTGGTGGAGTTGGTGTGCAGGAACTTTGGTGAAAGCTGAAAGTAAAACAAACATTTGATTTAAAGTCTCTTTAACCTTTAAGAAACAACCTTGCCTTGCATGGCTACATTTCATCCTCTGCTTTGGTCCTTAATAAAGCTGTGTAGTTCAGGATCAGAGTTTTTTTAAATGATCTATCAGATATATTTTAATTATATTATTAAACTGTCTCTGGAGTATTATATTGCCCTGCCCTATCCTACAAAAGCGCCAGCAAATAACCCGCTGAAATATAAATCTGTAAATCTGGAAAGCAATAATTTTTCGAGGATTGGTGGACTGCGGGATTCTTCCTTCTCTATCTTAAACAACAATCCCTTTAAATTAGGGCACCACTTCTGTACACAGAAAGCCTTAATCTTAATCTCCTGGATTAGGAGTTTCTCTCTGTCCCATAATGAATTACAAGTAAAGCTGAAATGAGAAATTGGATTGATCTTGAGTAATCATTTAATATTCCATCGGTCTCCGCTAAGTGATGTCAATTGTTTACCTCGGGCGCGGTGCATCGTGGGAAAACCACCATATTAGGTGGAAAGTCAAGATAACCCACACGCGGCTGTTCTTTCGGCACAATTATTTACCAGAAATGACACGATCGTGTTGTGTGAGAGGCTGCCAGTCCCGGTGTCGTGCCAAGGTAGTTAACAAATTATAGCAG